AAAAAATTCTTTTAGGCCCTTAGTGAGTGAGCAAAAAAATGAAAGGGGAAAAACGAATGAGTGAAAAAATTCTTAACAGCGGTCGGCCCTCGACAGGCAATGGCAAACCTCCGAGTGTATTCCTGCCATGAAAAACAGCTTCTCATAAAAATACACTCGCCATTCGGAGTCGGCGTAAAACTGTAGGTCCCTCCCCTTTGTGTGACATCAAGGGGACCGCCACAAATTGGAGGAAAAGCACATATGTGTAAGCGCCAAACTATTATTATTATTTTATATGAATTTTACTTCTTTACTACTGAAACATGTATATGTTTAAATTCGTTGGGAATTTTGCGGGATAAATTTTCAAGATGTGGGTAATTGAGGGATTTTTCCCCATTTCCGTGGGATATTTAACAGAGAATGTCTGGCATCACTGCTTTAATATTGTACAATATTCTGAGTCTACGCTATACATATGCATGTCCATATGCCTCTGCATAGAGTACGTAATTCTAAAAATATTTTTAAATTCCACATGCACGTCAAATAAGAAAATAAACAAACGAGTCCTTCACCTTTTCAACAACTCGACTGCAGGATATCCATATAAGTAGACATACACACATACATTTGTACAGAAAACTTTTGTAGATATGTATGCAGTTGTGAGAATGTGGCAACTGTTTCATTAACTAATGCTTCAGGACTAATTATTTGTTACTGCTTTTGAAGATGAAAAACGATTTTTAATGCTGACATAAATAGTTGGCCCCGCACATAAAAACTGACCTCAGGCTCAGACTCTATGTTGCACTGGTGAACTGAGCTCAAGCTCCATGATTTACATTGAAAAGTGAGTCGGAGCTTAAACTTACTTTTTCTACATGAGGCCCTAATCTCACGACTTCAGAACTCGAGACCTCTATTGGTTCGATATGGAGGAGGTGCTCTGAAAATTGCGTTATTTATGTTGTTAGGGAGTAAAAGTCACAATCAGTGAAATTCTCTTTCGTTTTATTTCCCCGCGAGCATATTTAGCAACTTTTGCAACCAAAGTAAGAATCAACACAGCCTTCAGCTTTGGGAATTGTTAATGGAATGCATACAAATGTGATTTGCATATATGTATGTATGTATATGAGCATATGAACAGCAAATGTGTTTTATTTACAGCGTGGCAAGGTCAAAGGATTCAATTGAGTGGCATGTGTATGTAAACCAGACCGAGGCACTTGTATGAATGTTTAAACGCTTTCTGGTCGAAACAATCAAGCGAATTGCAAAATGTTTTTTTGTATTTGCAGAGGACACATTTTTCTACATGTAAGGACAAATACAGCAATTGAGTTAGACACGAACAAGTATGTATGTACATATATACATATGTACTTAGGTACACTTCATTCATTAGCCATGCATAGTGGCATACATATGTATGTACATGCATGTGTAAGTATGTAGTTCAAATTCACCTACGCGACTTTCAAAAAAAAATTACTAATTTAGTTACTTGTTTCCTCACTCCCTTGCCCTACTCACCACCGCTCTTCCATGCCCTCCATTTTTATATCCGGTATATTTGGTATCTTCTTATTCAAGTATTGCGATGAAATTTTCAGCAGCGATTCACTGTAAGATTTTTCTATGGCGGATCGCTTAATGGTGAATTGTCGTATGTCCTCGAGCAGATCGCATTCATGTTGATTCTTTAATTGCAACTTGGCCACTTGCTCTGTGTGTAAATTCTTTAAGAATTTCACATAGTTTCCCTGTTAAAGAAAAAAAGGCAATGTTGATGGAAAAATAATGAGAAAAATCCTAGATGTTTAGACTTACATACATACATAAATAAGCAAGAAATAGCGCGTAAATACACTAATATACAAAACTACATACATACTCGTACTACATACAAGGCTTATAAAACTTTCAAAGCTTAAAATGGCAAGTAATAATTTTACAAGAATCAGGGAAGCAGCTAATTCTACAATCAGCAGAGTTATTTACATACATACATATGGGTAGTGAATATGATTTCCAAGCTGCATGCATCATTGCATAGTACATACAGCCTAGTAAAAAATAGGATCATGCAAAGGATAATCTTAGGTCGCTATTTTGCTAGCAATGGATTACACCCTACACCTCGTGCATTTTACACTCCTTTTTAGCATTAATGTCCTTACGGGCGAGCACTCACTCTTTTAGAGCTCCTAACGTAGGACAAAGAGAGCATTCTTTTCATATATTTCTTAGCTCGTTAACTACTCCAAATCGTATCAATAAGCGAGGAATCAATACAATTTTTGGAAACTTTTGAATTCAATGGTTTTAGGGCCAGAAATTAACAAAGAAAAATAACAATTTTGTGGTAAAAAAGTCACTGTAGTTACAAATTAATTAAAACATCATAATATGCGTATCGAATGGAAAGTGTTTTAAAGATCCCTGATTCAAAAATTTTTTTAATAGGGTTGCCACCTACTTTGAATTTATTTTGTTTTTTGTTTAGAAAAAAAAGCTAAAATATTACTATTCATGGCGGCCAAGAGAAGGTTCTTAAACAATGCTTTCCCTATATACAAAATATAGGTTGCCACTTATTTTCGATTCTACACAATTTATCTAAAACATCGCAATATGGATATCAAATGAAAGGTATTGTTGAGAACTTTGGTAAAAAAATAATTTCCATCAGGGTTACCACGCTTTTATGTAATACAAATATTTACTTTGTTAATTTCCAGATACGCTCAAGACATGTACCATTCATTCGAGCGTATTTCGGAATAGGGATGCCACCTAAATTTTACAGTAAGAAATTTACTTAATATATATCGAAATCAAAATTTTTTATTTTTTATTTACAAAATATTTTTTTATAGCTATCCAAATCCTTAAAACTTTAAAAAGTATATGCACTCCAGGCAAAGCTCGCTCAACCTGGTACTAAAGTTTATACTACAACAAAAAATATAAAAATAATATTTCTATAAACTCAACTAACTAGCCATTTTCTATTTATTAGAAAAATTTTTAAACTATACTTTTGTAACCCATTAAATTTTATTTTTTAACTTATTCGAAAAATCCAACTTCGCACATTTGGCGTGCGTTTTAACGGTGACACTTGAGGCTACATGAGTGAAATTAGTTCTGTAATTCGTCGCTCCCAAAAATCCGCGGAAACTTTATATAACCCGATATATACAACAAAAGTATTCCTGCGTTAAAGACACTTTGGGCATTCCAAATTTACTGCAAGGCTTAAGGAGTTTGACAGGCCAAACAGAGTCGAAGGAAATGATGATGCGGCCTTGAGCGCCATTTACAGGGAGTCGGTCTCAAGTTACGTTTACTCCAGACCTGTGAATGCCGTTCTGGGCACACAACCACCTGACGCGGATGAGACGGAACTTCGTCTACCTCGGGAGACTCGGACCACAATAGCCAAACTTCG